TTGGGGAAATCTGAAAGAAAATTGGGAAAAATAATATTCAGTTTTGAAACTCTGTTGAACTGTTTCTTTATATTTAAAGATTCTGTTTTTCTTTTAATGCATTTTATTGTTATTGTCAAGGTGATGTATAGAAAGGTGACAGTTACGTAAGTCAGATAAAGAGTACATTTCTTTTTGAACAATACCACCCCTTCCCTTGCTCTCTCCCAGTTTTTCCTTTCCATTCCCACACACAAGTTGTAGAATTCATTTTCTACAAAATGTCTAGTGAGTATCACTGCTGCATTTGTTCACTCTTTGTCCCACTAGTTCTGTGTTCTCCCCACCCCTTATCCTCTCAAAGACAGCAAAAAATGAGCAAACAAGACAAAGGAAAACAAAAACATCAACAATGGAAGAAATCTCTTGTTTCCATTTCATGGGGATCATTTTAATAAATATTTTTCTATAAGATCAGAGTCACAAACATGCCTCATATTGAGTTATCTTCCAATACAGCTATATAACAAAAAGAGAGAGAATCAAAACTTGAGTGACTACTCTGGATAATTGCACAGAATTCTTCCTTAAGGACAGCTGAAGTCAATTAATGTAAATGTGTGATGAGGTAGCAAAGTATTTAAAGTTCCCTTAGACATTTGCATTTGAGGTAGCAAAGTATTTAAAGTTCCCTTAGACATTTGCATTTGAGCAATGTTTCCTTTCCTAAGGCTGACCAAGACCAGACAATCCTTGTCAATTAAACATCCCAAGAAAGGCCCTGTAAACATTTGATCAGAATGTCCTGTTTTTCTGAAACTCCTTTGCTTTAGTAAGTAAGAGTTCCCCATCTGACCCAGGCCTAGCTTTAGTCTTACATGCCTGTCTATCAGAGTCAGTTTTAGGGTATTTTACACTCTGATGTACTTAGGAGTTTTGTTAAACAGATCATGCTTGTGAGTACTTATCCTTCATTATATGCAATTAAGAAAGTCAACAAAAAAAATAGGACCATGAAGTCCTGTGCTTGTCTTTTTACTACACGTATGAACCTCTCTTGTGAGCGAGTACTGTAGTAATACATTTCAAGGGAGTCTTATTTCTGAATCCTTTGAAATTGGTGCACATGAAAAAGGCTTTCCTTTTTCTTTTAAGGCTAAAGACAAAAATATCAATGTTCTACTGCTGTAACCCAACCCCTGGTAATAGAATACCAGTGTAGTTAGGTAGGCATTTCACCCTTTGAAGTAGCTGTGTCCTGACTGGTTGCCACTAATTTTGGAAATGGCTTTAGAAATTTCCAAGGTGTCCTTGAATTGTCTAACCACGGACATCAGCAGTTTGACTTAATTTCCTTCCAGATACAGGGGAATACCTACATGCTTTTCCAAGTGTTTATTTACTGCTGTTACTATTTGATTAGAATGTATTAAATAAAAACAAACCTGACTTTTACAAAAAAAAAAAAAAGACCAGATTCACATAGCTATTGAGCTTGTGTGTTCCTCTCCTAAGAATGCATTATCCTCCTTTGGTCTCACTGCATGTGAATGCCTAGAATCCTGTATAATTTATCATGTCCAAGTGTATATTTTCTCTTTTATTATCCAGTGTGCTTACTTTTAGATTTATAGTTATATTCTAGGTACCACAACTAAGGGAAACCAAGCATACTATGTTTCTCTGGGTCTGGATTACTTGACTTAATATAATTATTTTCAAGCCTTTTCATTTCCTTATGAATAGTATAATATCATTCTTTCTGATGGAAGAATAGAATTCCATTGTGTGTGTGTGTGTGTGTGTGTGTGTGACATTTTCGCGATCCATTCATCTGCTGAGAGGCATCTGGATTGATTCCATATCTTGACTATGGTAAACAATGCTATAATGAACATGGTTGTGCTGATCGCTTTAGTGTGCCTTGTGGTCTACTGAAAAATGCCCAGGAGTGGAATTGCTGGGTCATAGGGAAACTCTATATTTAGTCTATTGAGGAACCTCCATACTGCTTTCCAAAGTAGTTAAACAAGTTTATATTTCCACCAATGGTCTAATAGAGTTCCCTTTGGGCACATCCCCCCCAGCATTTGCTATTGTTAATTTCCTTGATAATGGATATTCTAACTGGGGTGAGGAGGAATCTTAATGTTGTTTCTATTTGCATTTCTTTTATGGCCAGAGATGTTGAACATTTCTTTCTGTGCCTATTGGCCATTTTTTCTTCTTTGTCAGAGAAGTCTTTTAAGTCTTTAGCCCATTTATTAATTGGGTTGTTGTTTCTTTGAGGGTTTTTTATTGAGAGGTTTAATTTTTTGAGCTCTAAGTATATTTTATATGTGAGTCCCTTGTTTGATGTATAGATGGTAGAAATCCTTTCTTTCTTTTATGATGGTCCTAGGGTTTGAACTCAAGGTACATGTTTCACCAGCTGGCACTCTACCATTTGAGCCACACCACTAGTCCTTTTCACTGGTTACTTTGGAGACAAATGCTCATGAATTTTGCTGTCTAGGCTGACTGTCTTTGATTCAATTTGATTTTATATCTTAGACTTCTGTCTACCTAGGATTACAGATATGAGCCACTAGTACATAGTTCATGTGGTTATATCCATATATCTTTCTCACGCTTTGAGTCAGATAGGGAGCAAATAGAATGGTGTGTGTGTGTGTGTGTGTGTGTGTGTGTGTGTGTGTGTGTGTGTGTGTGTGTGTGTGTGTGTGATTCCTACTTGTCCTCAAGCATCTTGATATCTAGAGAAAGAGCCAGGTACCAAACCAGTCATGGTAATGACACATGCTCAATCTCCTTTCCAAATCAGGTTGGAATGATACTTAGCTAGGGTGGTGGTTCCAGGATGTGGAAGAGTGGAGAGAGGACTACTGAGGAGAAGTGACATTGGAGTGACCCTTTTTTAAAGATGAGCCCAAACTTACAGGAAGGGATTCAAAGTAGTAGGAGAAAGACAGCTGTGAAGAGCCTATGCTCCTAACCCAGTGTGCAGCTGGCTCCCTGGATGGGAAACCAGGACTTGACTTGCAGTGAGGTAGAATTATGGAAGGATTATGACTATGGAAGGCTCTGGTCAGTGTATTTTGTGTGTTTCACCTACAGGAGTCAGTAGAGGAACAATTTGCTTTAGATTATTATATCAAAGATTACAGTAGCCACATGTAAGGAGTAGATTGGAGGAACAAAGAAAAAAACAAATTCAGAGACCATGCAGAGATCTCAGGGGGAGACTGTTGTAGTGGTCTAAATGGAATCCAGTGTGAATCTTCCAGAGGTATGGTGATGGAAAGTAAGACTTGAAAATAAATCTAGGTTTTTCTCCTGTGTTGAGCTTTAAGTTGGATTGATAAGGTATGGAAGGAAGACAGGTAGGTTGTAGGTTCCTTTCAGGCTCTACAGTGCCAATGAAACATAGACTTGGTCCTGGACAGAGAGAACTGTGAAATGTCATTGCTGTTGCTATCATAATAAGAGTCATCATCGTGATCATCATCATCATCACCATCATTGTAGTCTTAGAAACCAAGTCATATTAGGAGCTTACTTTCTGTCTGGCACTTCGCTGAGCCATTTCCACCTCATATCACATTGAGTTCAGTTACTAGCAAAATCTACAGTTGGCAGGCGAAGATGCCAATGCTCAAACAGGTGAAGGTAGTTTGCTGTTGAAGATCCCATAGCAAGGTGAAAAGTTCAGCTAGGATTCAAACTTTGGTCTCTCTGGATTGAAAGCCCAGCCTCTAATCACTAGAATACAGTTTATGCCACAGATGACATCCAATGTATGATAGTGCTTCTTAAAAGTATTCAACTCTTGCAGTAGGGCAAAAGTGATTCTCAGCCAGTAGAAGCTGTGTTTTGAATTTTGATTTTGGAGCTTTTGCTCCTCTTCACAATGGTAGACAGTAGTTGTCAGTACAGCTCTAAGTTTGCTACATAGTCACAAGGGAAAGTACTGGTACTAAGCCTTGATGTCTGTTGGGTTAGATGCACCAAATGCATGCCAAGCTCAGGACATTTTGAATTCATAATATGTCTTTCTGGACACAATTCTATCATTAAATCGTGGAATGCATTGTGTTGACAATACTATCAGTAACTTCCATGCTTTTCATTGGGCCAAGAGAGAACTCAAATAACTGTAGCTAAGAACTTAGAGTAGCTAAGAACTGTAGCTAAGAACTACTGAGTTTCAGAGGATATGTTTTATGTGGTGAGTAAAAAATTCCTTTTTTGTGTGTCTGTGTGCCAGTACTGGGGCTTTTACTCAGGGCCTCAAGTTCTCACTTAGTTTTATTGATCAAGGCTAATGCTCTACCAATTGAACCATACTTTTACTTCGATTGTTTTTTTCTTTCTGGCTAATTGGACATACAAGGCTTGTGGACATTACTGCCAGGGACTCTCAGATCTCAGCCCCCTGTAAAGCTGGGAGTACAAGCATGAGCTACCAGCTCCTAGCTAAGAATTGTCAGGTGAAGAAATGAGAAGGAAAGAATTTCAGGATGGAATGATTTATGCAAGCTCATAACATTTGGGAGTGTCTTGTGTAATCAGAAAACAGCGACTGATTCCACATGTTTGGCTCTTTGAGTGAGATCCAGGGAAGAGGACTCTGAGTTGGGACTCCTCATGGTTTTCCATTAAGCTAAAAGTTCCACTGGAAGGAAGTAGCTTGTAACTAGAGAGGAACTCATGGAACTTTTCGTAGTTATTTTCCTCTTGATGTTGCATGTCTGTCAACAAACCATCAATTCCATCTTCAGCAATCTGTTTCCCTGCCCTTTACACAGATACCTACCTCCTTCTTTAATGGGACAAGAGAATGCGAGTGAGCTTTGCCAGCAGAAGTGAGCTATAGATGCTGCCATATCCTTTAAATTGATTTCTGAGAACAGCATTAGTCATGCAACATCCGTGATTCAGCATTTTATGTAGCCCCTCATCATTCAAGGAAGTGCAAAGAATCATTGTCAATGACTCTACTCTCTTGTGTTTCCTTTCAGTTCCTCCCCAGATCATGAATATCTCCTCAGACATCACAGTGAATGAAGGAAGCAGCGTGACCCTGCTGTGTCTGGCCATTGGCAGACCAGAGCCAACTGTGACGTGGAGACACCTGTCAGTCAAGGGTAAGGTTTCAGACCTGGTTGAAGTTTGCAGGGTGAGTTTGTGAAGTGCTTGGCTCCTGGTAAACAGAACCCCAGGCATGAGAAAACATCAGTATGTATGTGTGTGTGTGCATGTGTGTAATAAATGTGTCAATGTAAAATCTCACAGGCAACGACTGTTAGATGCTGAGAATTTAATTTAAAAAACAACAAACCAGGAGAATTTATAGAAGAAATCTACTGAATTACCTACTTAGTTCTTGTTGCGATTATAGAAGATTTTTGCGTTGGATACTGCAGAAAAATAACAATGATTTAAAAAAAAAAACAGGAGAATAATTTTCAGTGAAGACATTCAGATAGGGTGTGTGTGTCCTTTTGTAGCTTTGGCATCATTGTCAGACAGGAGGAGAGAAGGCCCTCCATGCTTCAGTACATTCAGGACATTTACCCACAGTCACACCTGTTGGACCTGGCATAAATATTTCACCTGAGTAGAAGAAGGACAACGCAGATGGGGAAGCATATCTGGGCTTGACTGTCCTGCTGGGCACTCAATAATTAGTATACGCATCAGTTATAATCAACTCCAACTTAGTAGAGGGGAAGCCATAAGGGCATTGGCCTTGTCTCTTTGGAAATCAAATCTGCTCCAAGTTAATCTTGAGGAGATGGGAACAGAGCCATTTGATACATTTACACCACTGCTAGAAGCTCTGATTAATTCTGGAAATCATTCAAGAAACAAGTGCTCCCTCAGGCATTACAAAGTCCAAATCTGATACCCAGTGAATAGAAAGCTGTGTAGCTGTGAGTGAGGTAAAATAATGTAGATTAAATGAAAGCATGGGAGTAACTCTTAGTAACCTTGAAAAAGGTAAAGTTCTGCCAGGACATGAAAAGCTCTCACTATGAAACAATGAAATGCTCTCACTATGAAACAAAAAAAAAAAATGAAATATTCCCACTAGTTTGCAGGACTGCCATAACCAAGTGTCAAAAATTGTGTGTGACTTAAATAGCAGAAGATGTATTTCTTCTAATTCCTGGAGGCTACAAGCACAAGATAAAGGTGTTGCAAGGAGAATCAATTCTAGGCATTTGTTCTGGCTTTCCGGTGATTTGTCAGCAATCTCTGGAATTCCTTCATTTGTAGACAAATCATCCTCATCTCTGTGTTCATTTTCCATTACATTCTTTATTTGTTTCTGAATGTCCCCCTTTTTATAGGGACACAAGTCACATGATGTTGATGCTAATGACCTTTGTGAATTTGGTCACTTCTGTAAGGCCTTATTTTAAAACATGTCACAATCTGAGGGCCTAGGAATGAGGACTTCAAGGTATTCGTTCTGTTGAGGGAGAATCTATTTCAACCCATGACAACTTCATCAAAACTTAAAGCCATTATTAAGAAATAGTGAATGGTGGGCATTAGTGATGCATGACTATAATCCTTGCTATGGAGGAGGCTGAGATTTGGAGGGTCATGTGGTTCAAGGCCAGACTGGACCTGGATCCTCCAAATCAAATAACAATGAAAAAAAGGAACAATTAATGACAAAAGCCAAAAGCCAAGTCAATAATCACATAAAAAGGACCTGAGGGGAGAAATGACTACAAAAACGTACAAGGAATTTGGAACAGTTATATATTTTGAGTGAAATGGTGGTTACATTGGTGTTAATATTAGTCAAAACATGTTGAATTGAAACTCTTGTACAACTATCATATAAAATAAATATATATGATATATATCTAAATATATTAGTCAAGACTAATACAACTGTACACAAATTTCAATAACATTTGAAATATAGGCATAGACATGTGGCTCAGATTTAGTTTCCTAACTTGGAATATCACTTACATCCATAGAACAAAAAGAGAGACTTAATTCATTACAGGGGCAACACTCACCTTTCATTTTAATCCCATACAAACTGAGAACATGAATTTCTGCTCATGACTTATTATAGGGAAGATGATGCTGAAATAAATCTTCTGAACCCTCTTTATGGAAAGACCTTAAACATTTGCTAAGCAAGTACCAGGCCTTCTTATGCCATCAGATCAATCAATCAATCAATCAACAAAAGGAGAACAATACCTCAACCATTAAAAAATAACCTTAAATATTGAAGCCCAGAATTTCAGTATTATAAAATGTTATTGAAAGCTGCCTGTCAATGGCTCATGCCTGTAATCCTAGCAACTCAGGTAGTAGAGATCTGAGGACTGCAGCTTAAAGCCATCCCAGCAGGAAATTTTGTGAGACTCTTACCTCCAATTAACCACCAAAATGCTATGGCTCAAGTGGTAGAGTAGAGCACTAGCCTTGAGCAAACTAGTTCAGGGACAACACCCTGAGTTCAAATAACAGGATCAGTATGCTGTTTCTCCTTCTCTGTCTCTGTCTCTATCTCTCTCTCTCTGACTCACTCAGACAGTCACTCACTCAATCTATTTAACTATATACACATATATGACAAAATATTAAAATATATGTAGAGCTTTACTAAGCTCAACTTTAATATAAGCACAGCAATTACATATGGTCCCTGACTTTGACTTTCCCAGAATCATAGTCTCAGGAAAATTTTGCCTAAGACCAGGGAGATATTCAGGTTCATGTTATATGTGAAACACCTTTAAACATCAGACCAGTTTTTATGTATTTGCTAAAGTCATATGTATTTATAAATGTTTGAAATCCCAGAATATACTTATTTGATCCTAAATACATAGTTCTCTAAGCCTAGAAATATTTCATGTGAGAATTTGACTCTGTGTGTTTTGAAGCAATTCTCTCTCATAGTACAGTGGTGAATTTTCCCTTTTAAAAGAAGGTCTTATTCATTCATATTCCCAATCTTTGATATAAAGCAATAGTTCCCATTCAGCCTAAAAAAAGCCTGTGAATTCCAAATTTAAATGATCCTGTTCCTCTTTAAATCCCATGGACTGTACTATACTCTGAACTTCCTTTGTCTCCTCATCTCTGGCCTTCACTCCAGTTTTCTTTCATTTCCACATTGTCTTTTTTTCTAGCGCTCTCCATGACATTTAAACATTTCAACCCAAAGCATTGTTTCCAAACACTGAAAGGCTTTGAAACCTGGAGAGTATGTAAGTTTAAAAATATGTATTTTTTGTTAGAATCATGTTTCTATCTCTCTTGAACTAGAGAAGTCATTCTAAAGGTTTTCAGAAGAATAGCCAATAAAACTTGCAGCATTTTTAGAAAAACATGTTGGTTAATTTAGGATGGAGGAATAAGAAATAAAAGCTGCAATGACATTTCCTTGGAAATTCCAGCGGGATTACAAGAGAGAATTTAACTGCCTGGACAGCTGTGTTCCCAGAATACTAATGCAATATTTAAAGTATATGGCTTAAATGTAGGGGATCTTTGTAAAAGGAAATGAATAAACAAGATTCTCATGTAAGAAAAAAAGTACGCCAATGAAAAGATGGTTAAAGATGAAGAACAATAATCACAGTTGTGGTTTACAATGAAGGTCTGAGCACATTGCATCAACTGCTAGAAATTATAATAAGAAGTTAAAATAAATGAATACATAAATCCATTGTTATACTACAGCCTATTATTGGTATGCTTTGTTGGGTCAGAAATGATAAGGAATATCTGAATACAAAAAAAGGATAGTTGTAAAGACAGAAAAAATAGAGCTTGAAATATAGAAATAAGATCTGAATATGAAATGACAGTTTGAAAAGTGAAAGGTTTGGGTAGGGTTGCACTGGCAAAAGTTTAAAAATGTTGGGGGATGGGAGGAAACAAAAGAGAAGGAAGGCCCGATAACCTTTGACCATTTCCATAATGGAAATAGTCCAGTCACTGCCAGCTTCCTTTGAAATGACTTTGTCTTGCAGCTTCAATTTCTCATGAAAATAAAGACACCAAAAGAAACCTTCCTTACAAAAGTTAAGTGGGGGTGTTGAATCTCCAAATTTCAAATGTGGACCTACATTTCTGATCTCTAGACTGAGTAAATGTCTAAGAATCATCTAACCCCTATTTTCCTTGTAGTGTTAAACATGTGCACAGATTGCTGGAAATGACAATACCAGAGGACATGTACCTCACTTCTGATAAAAGCTGGATTTTTCACAGGATGCAGATAAAGTGCTGTGAATATCACCTAGAAAAAGTGCTCCTGAAATAAACATTTGGTGATATACAGTGGACATAAGGAACACCAAGCTATTCACTATGTATCTATTCTTTGGATTTAAAAGGCCATACTTTCCACACACCAATGGGCTCACACCAGTAATCTAGCTATTCAAGAGGCTGAGATCTGAGGATCATAGTTCAAAGCCAGCCTAGGCAGGAAATTCTGTGAGACTCTTATTTCCAATTAAGTACCAACAAGACAGAGGAGGAGCTGTAGCTCAAGTTTTATAACACTAGCCTCCTTGAGCATAAATGTCCAGGGACAATGCCCAAACGCTACATTCAAGCTCCAGGATGAGCAAACAAACCAAAACAAGCTCTGCTTATTTTTTTCAGTAGCAGACAATAGCATCCTAAAAATACACGCTCCTATGAATGTGCTGGGGAATGGAGCACTTGTTCACAGTTTCCACATGCATAGAAATCTGTATCAAGTGATCATCAGCTCAGGAAACAGAATAATGATGGACTCTCAAGCTGCAACCTCAAAGAGATTTCTGCAGGAAAAGATAGTCAGGTCTCAGAACAGGCAGGCACAGTAGGTTGGCAAGTATCCAGTGTGTTTGGAGCTCATTGTGAATAAGATAGGTTTCAAGACATATTTTCTGATATCTTCCTGAAGAATCAAAGGCGAATTTGGTCTGGTTTTTTTTCTGGACACATGAGTAGTTTGAAAGCAGAGTTCTAGAGATTGGGTTGGTAGAGGGAATCTATGCAGGATGCTGTTGTTCTGAGGAGGGCTATCTTTCTTTCTTCATGCCATAGTAATCTACTCCAATACCTTCCACATCTGTCCCCATTTCCGGTGACATATTTGGAA